CCTTCCTTCCTTCCTTCCTTCCTTCCTTCCTTCCTTCCTTCCTTCCTTCCTTCCTTCCTTCCTTTTTAGTATTTCCTTACTTTTGAGAGGGAGAGAGAGAGGGAGACAGGATCCAAAGCAGGCTCTGCGGTGACAGAGAGCCCAGTGCATCGCTTGAACTCACAGACCGTGAGATCGTGACCTGAGCCGAGGTTGGACGCTTAACCGACTGAGCCACCCGAGCGCCCCCGAATTGCTCTTTTCTTGATTTTCATTGCACTGCGTTTTCAACTTCCTTTTAGGTAGTTGGAACCTGCAGCACAATGGCATGCAGGCCTGTAAGGACCCTACTTTAAGATCATTCTTTGTCCCTGATGTGCCGAGTTCTCACCTGGGAGGGTCCTGCTGCTTTAGGAGGGTTGGTTCTCCTTCGGAGCAGGGAGCTCACCCAGCTCTGGGGGGAGGGGGGGTGTCTCTGCCCCCCTGACGTGTCTGTTTTGAGCAGGGTATGCTGAGGATGGGTGGTAGAAGGTGGGGGCGATGGGCTGAGACAACCTGGCTCACGGGCCTCACTGGGAACGGCTCTGTGCCCAGTTTGTGTGCCTGTGGGCAAAGCCCTGCCACCTGTCCCACCTTCCTCACCTGCAAAGTGGGCCTGCCCATCTCCGATGGGGCAGCTGAGGCTGGCGTGGTGCAGTATGGGTGGTGTCCCTGCGGACCCACCCCACTGGGTGATGGGGAACAGGCGCAGGGCTCTGGAGAGGAGTGGATGCCTTTCCCGCCTCCCGCCCTGGGCTGAGATCTTTCCCCGGGGGGGGGGGGGGGGGGGGCAAGGCCCACAGCACATCCACTGACTCACACCTGCTTCCTCTTTTAGTACACAGCACCTGTGCAGGGCAGGTGTCTGACTCCTACTTCATGGATAAGGAAACTGAGGCCTGTTAGCTCCGAGCACATAGGTATTGAGCAGGTATATGCCAGGCACTGTTGAGCACCGGAGATGCAGCAGTGACCAGACCTGGATTCCTCACGGGGCCTGCATTCTGGTGGACGGACCGGAGTTGCCCCGGGAGCCGCACAGAGGGGGAAAGGTGCTCGCCCGGTGTCCCACAGCACGGGCAGGATTGACCCCCAGCTGTTGGCTCCCAGGCCTGGGGCTCCACCTCCCACTTTCCAGCGGTGCTGTGGGAGGGACGCCAATCAACCACACCCTTCCCCAGCCTCTTGTGCCTGAGCGGCAGGAGGACGAGAAGGGAACGTCGCAGGTCGCTCTAGGGGTTGCCGGACTCCGGGCCCACTCACCTAAGTCCGTTCCTGCCCTGCCCCCCAAGTGTAGGGGGATGGGTACTGAAACCTCCCTTTTGGTCCTTGGCAGGGGTGCTTCGGTGGGGGTGCCTAGCAGGTGCCCAGCACTGGCCGGCAGAGGAGCTTTTGGCCTGGGGGGCGGGAGGGGGGCACTTTTTGTCTCTGAGACCAGTGGCTAGAGGTGGATCTTCCTTCTGAGGCGCTTCTCTGGGATCCAGCCGACGGTCTGCTCATTCTCAGGCTGTGGCAAGGTCACTGCGAGGCCTGCTGCCACGTGCCTGGATGCCCCTCGAGGAAGAAGAGGGCAGCTCTCTCTGTGCATCTTCATCAGCAAAGGAGCCTTTCTCCAAAGCCCCATGGTAGACCCTCCCTGCCTCAGCAGCCAGACCTGAGTCATGCCTAGCTCCAGAGATTCCAAAGAATGCCCTTGGGGACAAGGGAGGACGCCTCAGCCTAGGGGTCTTGGGCAGCAAGGAAGAGGGTAGGAGAGGTATGGAGGAGGCGGGGATGGCTACATGTGAGGTTGCTTGTGGGCTCTCCTGGGCCGTGCCTCAGAGCAAGCCCGTTGCTCAGTCCCACACTGCCAAGTTCCCCAAGCCGGTATCAGCCTATCTGCGCAGAATTCCCCGTGGCCCAGAGGGCAGTGTATCCAGCGGGGAATAATAAAAGCAAACGTCTGTTGTACCCATTTATATACGTGAACTTACAGGTCCTTAATATAGCCCTGTGAGGTAGGTATGGTCACTATACTCATTTTACAGATCGGGTGACCAAAGCACAGAGAGGTCGTGAACTTGCCCAAGGTCACACAGCTGGGAAGGGAGCAGGGTTTAAAACCAGGCAGTGGGCTGCAAGGTCCATGCCGTTAGCTGCTTCACACACTGCAGGGATATTGGAGCCCACCCTGCCATGTGGGAATGGTGTGAGACTCGGTTTCTCCCTGAGAAACTGGGGATGGTAGCACCTGTATAGAGAGGCAGTTAGGAGAGTCAGAGAAGGTGGGAAGGGCTTGGTAGGGTGTCACGTGGAAGTCACCCTGAGGCCCTGGGTGGGAGGACAGCACAGGCTGTGGGTTTTCCCACCTCTGGAAGTTGGACTGTGTCCATCCCTCAAGGATGGCGACTTCACCTTTCAGCAGCTTTTACTGAGCCCAGGTACTGGCTGCCAGGGTGCAGCTATGGGTGAGACAGTCATTGGCCTGCCCCCAGGGAACTCAAAGGCTGGGAAGGAAACAGTATCCCAGTCCTGGGTGGTAGGTGCCTAGGGGGGGCCATGCGAGCACAAAAGAACGTTCTAGAACCCAGACTGGAGGAGCAGGGACGGTGTCCCACGGTATGTAACATTTCACCTGAGGATTTGGTACATGGTGGTATACAGTAGGAGCCAGATAAATATTTTTCTCGACTAAATGAGAAATGTGTCCTGCAGAGGGAGCCCTGTGGCCTCCAGCCAGAGCGGTGGGGGTTCTGGGGGACTCTGGCCCTGTCTCGTCCCTCCAGGTGCTGGGGCTGCTGGTGTGGGCCCTGATTGCCGATACCCCGTACCACCTGTACCCAGCCTACGGCTGGGTCATGTTCGTTGCTGTCTTCCTCTGGCTGGTGACAATTGTCTTCTTCATCCTCTACCTGTTTCAGCTGCACATGAAGTTGTACATGGTGCCCTGGCCGCTGGTGGTGAGTCTGGGTGGGAGCCGGGGGGGGGGGGGGGGGGGGGCTTCCAGGCTGACCCCTCTCCCTCCGTGAGGAGTGGCTCGTGGGGGCTGGCCCTCAGCCAGCCTGCAGGGCCGAGTGGGGGAGGGAAGATTGATGGCCACAAACCAGGGAGGACACAGGTTTGGCTTTCTCCGTGGGAGGGAGTAGAAGTGAGGAGCTCTTGGAGAGCCCAGAGGCCATTTGGGATCTTGAAAGTATTTTTCCTTTTTGGGGGGCAGTGGGGATTCCCGTGTTGCCAAGGGTCTGTCGGACTCTGGCAGCCCTGTGTCTGGAGGCTGGGCTGAGCTGTCCGGAATTACCCGGGACGAGGCCCTCACAGCCTGGGAGAGGGTGGTGTCCCAGGTTCGTCCGGGCCAGTCTCCTCGGGACACAGAGCTGAGAGCGTCCATAGGAAGGACCCCGGCCAGACACACAGAGAGCTGCTGGGCTTTTTTCTCTGACCCGGAAAACCCCTGCAGCTGGGGTCTGAGGCTTTCAGCTCTGCAGCGAGGCAAGAGAGGCACATGATTGTAAGACAAGCGAGGCTGGGACTAGGCGGCATTGTTTGGAATTCAATGACTTTTTAAACCGAGGAAACGTGAGTCATCCTCAAGACAGACCGGGTTTGTTAGATCTTGACATCACTGGCAGGAGCCAGGCGGTGTTCGTGGCGGGCGCTGGGCTTGGAGGGAAGATCCTGGGATGAGGAGGGGTGGCCGGACTTCCTGGCTGGGATCCAGCCCTTGCTCTGTGTCCCAGGAGCCTTGAAGAAAGAGATCTCCCGAGATGGCGAGGCCTCAGTGTCCCTGATTGGGGCTCTAGCCCCAGCTGTTGATGGAAGGAGGCTCCTTTCCTGGGCCCGTTAGCAGATAGGGCAGGGAAGGCTTGACTGCATCCAGAGAAGATTGGATTGGGATCGCCAGAGGGTCATTGTCTGGGACGGGGGCCACCAGCACCCTACAGGGCCCGGGCAAGATGAGGGAGTGAAGTAGATCAGGAGGGGTTCCGGAGACCCCGCATCCACCTGTCCATAGGGAGCCACCTCTCCTAGTTCCTACTGTTAGCGGGAGTGCAGGCCCCCTGGTGCCAACTCTTGATATGTTAGGATCGAAAGTTTTATATGAAATCTTCAGGTTTTCATATGAAATCTAATTTTAGAATGTTGGGGATTTTTATTTATTGAAAATAACCTTTATTTTTTCTAAATGTTTATTATCTTGAGAGTGAGCGAGCAAATGAGCCAGCAAGCGAGGGGGTGGGGGGAGCAGAGAGAGAGAGAGAATACCAAGTAGGCTCTGATCTGTCAACACAGAGCCCCATGTGTGAGATCATGACCTGAGCAAAATCAAGAGTCGGACACTTAACCGGCTGAGCCACCCAGGTGCTCTTAGAATGTTGGTAGTTTAAAAAAAAAAAAAAAAATCTCTAGGTTGAACCAGACATGCCTGAGGGCCCCCAGTTTGCAGTGTCTGCTAAGACTGTTTACTGGCTCCAGGGGCCAAGCACTGGGGAAATGGGACTCAGCCTGAATGTCAGCTGAGGGTCCTCCCTGTCAGTCTGGTCCAGAACCCTGCGGGGTCCTGACCCTGGCATTTGACATGGGGGGCCTTGAGCTGAAGATGTGGCCAAAAGGCAGACATAGATTCCTCCCACTGGGGTAGAGAGGGATGTGAGGTGCTCCCAGGTCCAGCCTCAGGACCAAGGCCTGCGGTGCCAAGAGGGAGGGCCGAGCTTGTGCTGAGCCAACATGGAAGAGCGTGGCCCTGGAGTTCTTTAGCTGGTGCTCTTTAGCAGGCCTTGGTTCAATCTCCTGCCATTGGCAATGGGTTTTGCCTCTTGGGACCACCGCTGCTCCTGACCAGATCACTTCGGGCCTCCCCCATCGTGTCCCCTCCCCGCTGAGCCTTAGGTGTGTTTACGTTCCCAGCTCAGATGGCCACCGGCCTGACCCCATGTGAACTTCCCTTCTAGTGGCAAAGACCCAGGTCTCCCTCCCCTTCCTTGAGCCCCAGCCCCGGTCCTGGCTACTAAAGGCAGGTGCCGTTGGGAACCAAGAGGTTCCACGCTTCCTGGAAGAGTCTGCTGTCTTAAGCCTGTTCTCCCCTCCCCCCAGTTAATGATATTTAACGTGGGCGCCACCGTTCTCTACATCACGGCCTTCATCACCTGCTCTGCCGCCGTCGAGCTGACGTCCCTGAAGGGCACCCGGCCGTATAACCAGCGTGCGGCTGCCTCTGTGAGTATGGTTCCCCAGGGCGCCCTTGGCAGTTAGTTACAGGGGAGACGGGCCAGCCAGACCAAGTCTATGCCCCGGGACTCCCACCACTCTCTGGACTGAGGCCAGCACCCGCCACCGCTAGAGTTATCATCATCTCAGGGTTTCAGGGAAGCTGAGCTTTCAGTCTTCCATAATTAACAGTAAAACCTTGAGGAACCAGAATGCTTGGGAAGTACTTTGTGGTAGTAAATGAAGTTCTGGGTTAACCGTTGAACTTTGTTGTTAACCCGGGTGTTCCATACTGATTGACAGTCATATGCCCCCTGGGAGGACCTATTAAAAACTGTCAGCCCTTCTTGAAAGGGGCATTTGCAAAACCTTTTGGCTTAAATCATTTGGGGGGATTTACAGGGTCTCTCAGAAAGGCCAAACTCGGGCTCCCCGTGAGGTAGCCAGTGAAATACCAGTGACCCCTGCCACACCTGTCCTGCCTGACTCCAAGGGGCCCCACACAGACCTCTCCTCACAGGACCCTTTGACTCCCACAGTGAGGAGGACAGGGACTGGTAGTCCCTGTGGACAGACAAGGAAACTGAGGCTCAGAGAGGTGAGCACACCTAGGGGAAGTCCAGGGTAGGGCAGGAGCTAGACCAGGAAGAAGATGGTTTTGAAATCTGTGGTAGAGACACGGAGCTTCTGAAAATGGCCACCGGTGGTAGCGTAGGGCACCTATGAACCGATTCCAGAAGATTCCCTGGAATCACAATGTTGTCTTTTTAAAATGAAATCCCTGATGTGTGTGTGAACTAGCTCCTACCCCTCGGTCACTCTTAGCACATCATCCAGTCGCCCTCATCACAGTCTGACATACCTTGCCTGCGTGGTTCTTAATAGATACCCCCGTGAGAATGTAATGGCGGCAGCCCCAGAACCTGGCACCCATCGGCACCCCCAGACACTTGCTATAGGAAAGTATGGCTAAGTTGGAGTTGGTGTGGGTGCCAGAGCAACTTGTTCTGGTTAATGGAGGGGTGTTGCTCAAGGTTTTGCAGTCTGTGGGTCTGAGGTGGTCTGTCTGGCACTCGGATCCCTGTCACCCTACCCCCCAGTGCCACAGCGCACACCAACTCAGCTTTGGTGTCTTCTTCCTTTCAGTTCTTTGCATGTTTAGTGATGATTGCCTACGGAGTGAGCGCTTTCTTCAGCTTCCAGGCCTGGCGGGGCGTGGGCAGCAACGCAGCCACCAGTCAGATGGCTGGTGGCTACGCCTAGGCCACCTGTGCCATGGCCCACCTTGGGGCTGAAGGCTGCAGCTGGGTCACAGCTGGGTCACAGCGCGGGGCGGCCTGCAAGCCCGAGGCCTGAGCCCTTTGTGGAGTCGGCCTGGGAGGGACTACGCCTGTTCCGCACTGCTCCTCAGACCCGGGCTCACCCAGCGCTCCTTCGGAATCGGGATCCTTCCTCTGGTTTGGCCGAAGTCGGCAAGCGCCTGGGCTGGAGAGAGGCCCATGGCTGACACCACCTGCCCGTCCCCCGTATTTAGTGGAAGGTGACGGGGGACGCGGGGCTCTCCGCTTTGTCTTTAGAGACTCCAGTGTCCAAGGCTGGAGCCCAGTCTTCTCACCAACACTAAATACACTAACGAGGACTCCAGACCTGCAGCCGCTGGCCCACCGTAGAATAAGCCTAACAAGCCGCGCGTATTTACCTTAGTTTTTGCCCTGGGACTGCAGAGCGAGCTCTCTGAAACCGGCCTCATTCCTTCAACCGCAATTCTGACCTGACCCTCCCTCCCTCAAGCCAACAGGTGGCTTCTAGGGAGTCATCTGTGGAAAGAGGGTTAGGATTTCTGACAGCATGGTCATCCTTTTCCTGCATTTCAAACATACCAGTTATTTAAAGCAATCGGTCTTAAGCAACTTCTCAGCGATTAAAAACCTGGCCAGGTTTCCGTCCGGTACCCAAGCCCTTGTTTGTAGTATCCCCTCTGGGAAAAGCTAACCGTGCCACCTGCTTCCCGGACGCTGTTGATTAGGCACATGGCACATGGGACATGGAGGAGGGAGGGACTCAAGACCTTGCCTGGTAAGTTGTCCCGTGCTTGGTGACTTGGTTCTCTTTGGGTTTTTTTTTTGTTGTTTTTTACAAAAATAAAGCTGGAAGAACCTATTTGGAAAAGATGTTGGGTAATCATGGTTGTAGACGCTTATACAGCCCAGGAAGCCGCAGCTAAATGTACTGGGAGGTTCAAAATCCGGTTCTGGACTTAGCACCCCCAGCTGCTACTCTGACCTGAGGCCACCTGAGTACCTTCCTGCTTGCTTTCTTTGCCAGGGACAGTTCCCCTTCATGCCAGCTGTCCTGACAGATATAATAGATCCCCACCCCCCGCCCCATTCTCAGAATGGTGTCCTTTTAACACTAAGCCAGTCAGTCATCCCAGCTTTAGGCACATCAAGGTCACCTTGCTGAAGGCGAGACTGCCATCCTGTCCCCTGCCTTGAAAGTGCGCAGTTCAGAGATCAAGTCATCAACGCGAATAACAGGCTGGATCCGGGGGGCCGGCGGCAGACCACAGAGAGGAAGTCCTCCTGACCGAGCTTATGTTTCTGCTGCCACAGAGTAACATGCTTTGGATAGTAAGTAGGCTGAGGGGAGGGCATTTCTGGGCACCCCTTGGTCCTTTTGCAAAAACCCAGGGATAATTAGGATGTAACTCCAGTAGCCCGTAGGCTCCCCTTATCCACGTTCTCGCTTTCTGCGTTTTCAGTTACTCGCGGTCAGCTAGTAGCCTGGGAGCACGCGGTCCTCCTCCTGAGGCTACCAGCAGGGTCAAGCTGCGCCAGTCACCTCACTTCATCTCAGCCTGGGGGCCAGACCTCACCTCCCATCATCACAAGAGTACAGGAAGTAGGATATTTTGAGAGAGCCCACCGTCACGTAACTCTTATTACAGTATATTGTTGTAATTGTTCTATTTTCTTGGTGTTAACCTCTTACCATGCCTTTCTAAATTGAACTCTGTCACAGGTGTAGACGTACAGGGAGAAACAGTGTGAAGAGGGTTCAGTATTATCTGGGATCTCAGGCATCCACGGGGAGGGGGTGTCTCGGGGCAGATCCCCTGCAGGTGGGGGCTACTGTTGAGTCCAACAGTTGTGGGGGACCTGCTCCAGAACAGAGGGACGGGGTTAAGTCAGACACCCATGTCCTGGTTAGCCTGGGACAGGCCCACGGCCTGCCTGTTGTCCTGGTGTGGATACTAACAGGATCGCTTTTTACTCTCAAGTGGCTCAGAATATGATAAACGGGAGTCATTCCATGATTCAGCCATAAGGAGGGAGTTTAGTGTTAAGATCAACTCATTTTCTTTTGGCTTAAGAGGAAACAAAGTCCTAGGCAAGGTCTTACCAGTTTCTAACCTGCTAACACACAGCCCACTGCACTGCGGATATTAACATGCTTCCTCAAACAACTACCTTTTGGTGAGGCCGATGCCTCCCCCATCCTCAGACCCTGCAGTTGAAGGGTCTGCGCTTCCCATGGGCGAGGAGGTCTGAGCAATATGACAGGGCAGCTGTCACGGAGACTGGGCAGGATGGCGGGCTTTCTCATCCCAGCCAGCCCTGAGCCCCATCAAAGGTGGCACACGATGACGGAAGTCCCTGTGTGGACAGAGACAGGTTTCTGGTTTTATAAAATCAGAAAGCCTATCTGCTAATAGTAAGCAACAGGCTTTTTTTTTTTTTTTTTTTTTTTTTCTGAGTGGAAAAGAACTGTTTACCTCTGCTGTTGTTCATTTTTCGTTAAGTCCACATACATGGGTTTTCTCAACCAGGTCTTCATCAAGTACTTCGGACATGCCCAGCCTACAGTGAGTAGCCCTTTATAGAGAAAGGGCAAGAAGGGAAAGCAAGGCCAGGAGGGGCAGCAATGGAAAAAGCTGGCTCTGCGAGGGCCTCTGGCTTTGAAGGACCAAAGCAGCAGTGACCCCGAGGGCAGGGGTGATAGCCAAGGAAGGGGAGGGACTCGTGGAGAATGACGGCTCTTGCAATGCACCTCCGAGTATATTCATGGTACAAAAGTATTTAATAAGTGCCACGCATCAGTACAGAAAGAGTCTACAGCTCACACTTTAAGACCAGAACAGCCAACCGAAGTTTATAAGTATAGTCTTATTTTTACTTAAAAAAAAGAAAAAAAAAAATATATGGAAGGTACACATTGAGAATTGAAATACTATGTCTTGTCTTTCTAGAGATGTGACATCCATGTTTTCTGGTGATTTCTATGAAACACTGCTAAATCAAGGCATACATACGACTAGTGAAGCTGTTTGTGCTCTCCTCATGCTGAGCCAACCCAGCGGAACACCGCCTTGGTGGGGAGATCTGGACAGGAAGGAACTGCAGAGGCCCTACTCCAACAGAAAACCTAACAAACTGATTTACACAGAAGGGTAAAGTTTTAGCAAACCTGTACGAACACTTAACATGCTGTAAGAAAGGGAGACCTTTTAGCCTACTTCCAGCATAAGCACACACTCACTGGTGCCCAGTAAACTAGGTGCACCAACGTAGAAAGCATCTTTGCTTTCATAGCACTAATAGCTAAAAAGCACACAGTATATAATACTTTGATCTTTAAGTGGGTAATCATGGAAGCTCCAAGATTATAGCCACTAGGTTAGCCTGAGTATTCATCTATAAAAATAGTTACCTATAAATGCTTAAAAGAATTCTAGAAACAGACTACATCAGGACCAGCAGAAGACAGAGTGATGCAGGGACTGCCGACTGTAAGACAAGGAAGTGATTTTCACAGGTAGCTTCAGGTAAGGGGCATCTCTGTTATTCCTACAGCCAGGACCAGCTGGGATGGGAGCTGCTGCAGAGGGCAGCTGTCTCAAGGAACAGCCTAGAGAAATGTTCCCACATGGGTAGAAACCCCTCTGAGGCTGCAGGACTGAAACTGATACATACAGGAAGCTGTCAGCACACAAAAAGCCTGATGGACAGGCGGGGCCAAAGAGGGGTGGAGCTGGTGGGTTCTTCCAAATGCTGTTGACCTACCAACGTTTATGCTGGGGATGGGGTCCCCGGGGGGATGCTGGCCTCAGGCTTGCTCCAGAGGAGCCTGACTCAGGCCTGAGAGAGGGGTCTACTTGGGGAGGAGTGCTAGGATTACTGAACACAAGGTGATTCAGGGGCCTAGGAGGGTCAGATGGACTGTCTTCTGACCCATCAATACTTAACGTCAGCAAAGAGTTGTGGAACAGAGCCCGTCTTTCCAAGATGTATTCTGTCACATAGCCAAAGCCTCTTCCAGTCTATGGGGCTGGCGACGTCCAGGAAGATATCTCTGCCTGGTGGCAGGGCCTAGTGTCGCAGATCATTCTGGGAAGCTGGCACAGGGGATGATTTACACAATGAAGTCACCACTAAACCACTGCTTAAATCCAGTCCCCGGCCTTCTTTTTCCTGCATGAGAAAAAGAATCCCAAGCGGCAAGGAAGAGGGAAAAAAACACGAGTCCTTTCCTAGCTCCAAACCCTGCCTGTGGCACAGGGGGAGGGAGGGTGGAAGGGGGTTATTTTGCATTCTTGTTCAGCACTGGCCCGGTCACTCATAAAAAGTATACCTCTCTTCACTGAAAAATACCTCTTTTTCCTACTAAGAGTCTGCCTTATAAGAAAGGCAAGGCAGTTAGACCTGCTTTTTGGTTTTGTCCCTCTGATTATTTAGGGATTACTTTAAGAGGAACCTGGGTCCTGCCCGGAAGGCAGCTGCTCACTCTGGACACCTTGCTAGCTGCCAGACTGATATTGGCCAGTCATGGGGAGAAACATGGCAGCTGGTCTACTAGGAACTATCTGGAACTATCTCCATGGTTCCATGTGGCTAATGACACAAGCAAGAGGGACTTACTGCTCTGTAGTCCAGAAACATTTCCTTAAAAGCCAGAAAATCTGTGAACGTGAGCAGCATGTCAAATATGTCACCAGCCACTTCATCTTTATGATGCCTGCAAAAGAAAAGGATGGCTGTTTCATGGAAGACTGCAACAGATTCTGTCCCTCCAAGATTCCATTTGCAGATTTTAAGGGCCTTCCCACCCAGGACCTGACCGCCAAGGGCTGTAAACCTTCATGAGCAAGCAATGAAAAAAAAGGTCTTTTTTCAGAGTAAAGGAGAAAGGGAAAACAGGCAAAAATGCAGAGTCAAGTTCAACTCACTGCAACGTTGTCGTGAAAGCTGCCATGTTAAATCCAGGAATCCGTTCCAGGAGCTGTTCTTCAATATACTTTTCTACCAAAGAAATCTGTAAGAGTGGACAGGATCTTGGTTTTAGGAAAACAAGGCGGCTTTTCAGAAAGCCTGGCCTCCAACGTTCGCAAACATTTCCTGAGGGCCTATTTTATGTGCCAAGCTCCATGTTGAGCACAGGGGATACTAACGAGAACCAAAATACAGCTCCTGTCCTCAGTGAGCATGTGCCCTGGCACACCACGGGAGGGAGGCATCTGCAGGTAATTACCCTGTGACAAGATGAATGCGCTAACGTAGGAAGAGACTGTGAACAGCAGGGCTCCCACCCCCCACGGCAGGAAGTAAGGAACGAAGCAGGGCCTTTTTTCTTGGGTAGATGGAATCTGTGCAAAAAGAGCGTACAGGTGCCCCTGGTTGGTTAAGCGTCTGACTTCGGCTCAGGTCACGATCTCGCAGTTTGTGTCTTTGGACCCCGTGTCGGGCTCTGTTCTGACAGCTCAGAGTCTGCTTGGGGTTCTGGGTCCTCCCTCTCTCAAAAATAAACATTTAAAAAAGGGTTTAAAAAGGAATATATAAAGAAGCATACTGTTGGAGGTAATCACAGGTTCCTCATTGTAAGCTGAGGCTTGACTTGGGGAAACCATCAGGTATGCCATGCTTCTAAGGTTAAGAAAGTTCTCGAGGCTCAAACCTCTTCTCAGATGAGACTGTTCTAGGAGGCTACCGGAGGCCTCAGCACAATGGGAAGGCCCAAGGGTCCAGAGTTGAAACTCCTGGGGATCTAGCCTTGGTTTTCGCTTCTACCTAACGGTCATGGGCACCTGATTAGATTACACAGTAGAAAAAAAAAAAAAAACCGCAGATGTCACTTGAACAGTAAGTGTTTGAACTGCACGGTTCCACTTATTT